CTATAGTAAAAATTAATTTACTTACAAATTTTTTGCTTTTCTATAAAATATATCATCATCATTTTCTATCCAGCTTTGAAAATATTTAAGCGTTTATCATAGATCAATAATTGTAGGAATGTATATACTGATTCAGAAGTTTTATTGCAATATTCACTAAGCTTATTTTATATTACCTTTATAGTTGCAACTAAAGTTTTGAAGATTTTTCATTTTTCATTATTTTTTCAATATGATTCATTAAATGATTATATATAAGGTAAACTAAATTTATGATAGAATAATTCAATGCTAAAATTCTGAACAGTTCAGATCAATTCGAAAATTTTTTGGTTCAGTTCAGTTTTTTCAGTTCAGATTGTAAAAAATAATCCAAAAAATTTTGAATTTGTTCAAATTTTTTTCAGATTATAATTCAATTCAAATTGAAAAAATCTGAACTGAACAGATTCAATCTGAAAATTTCAGATTGATCTGAAGTTTTAGTTAATAATAAATACCTTCGAATTTTTAGGCATTTTTTATTAGAAAAATAACTGATAAAAGTCACATCTGAATTGTTAAAAGTGACTTTTAAAAATACAATAAAGTCAAACTGAATTTTTAAAAGTAACTTTTATTAGAAAAAAAATACTAATAAAATTGCTTCTGACATTCAGATATGACATTTATTATAAAAAATAATTACACTAAATTATCAGTGCTAGGAAAATAATAATAACAGTCACATCTGAAGGCTATTATTATAAAAAAATAATAATAAAAGTCATATCTGAACTATTAGTACCACTATTATTAGAAAAAATTATAATAAAGTTGCTTCTGACAGTTTAGCTGTGACCTTTATTATTATTCTTATAATATAATTAAAGTCATCTCTGATAATTCGTGTATGATTTTTTCTAATAAAGTCACATCCAAACTATCAGAAGCAGCCTTTATTCTTGCATCTGACAGTTCAGATGTAGCTTTTATTATTATTATTTATAATAAAAGTGGTCAGTTCAGATGTGGCTTTTATTATTATTTTTTATAATAAATGTGACCTGACAATTTGGATACGACTTTATTATTATATTTTATAATAAAAGTCACCTCCAAAATTTTAAAGTAATAATAAAAATATATCAGTATAAAAATATGAATAATAAAAAAGTCCTAAAGAAATAGTTAGAGAATAAAAGAAATAGATATTAAAAGGAAGTAGATATGTTAAAGATTGGTAATTAAATTATAACAATTAGATTAAAGAATGATATTTATATTATAGAAATTAGATTATAAATGATATCAATATTTAGATTATATAGTGATATTTAGATTATAGAGTAATATTCAGATTATATACTGATATCCAAATTATAGAATACTACTATAACTTTATAACTTAGTCTAAGTAATATTCCACTTTTTAATATAATCATATTAAAGAGTGAGATCTGCTGCTTATAAATAAAAAAAATACTCTTTTTAAATATTTTTCTTTTATTTTTATATATTATTTATATAAAATTATTATGATAACTTAAATAATATTAAATATTTTTTTCAATTTTTCAATTTTTTTTCTTTTTAAAATTGTTTATAAAAAATGAATATTAAAAGATATTCTAATTGATGATCAGGATTAAAATATTTAGGTATGTTAAATAATTACAAATGACTGTAAACAAATATTGAAATTATGAGTTATATAAAAGTCTAATCATTTATCTATAATAAGTATTTTTTGATAAATAATTGTAATAATAAATTTTATGAATAACTTATAAAAGAAATATGAATAGAATCAACAATTAATAAAAGACTGCTAAGGTAGGATCTGATCCTTAAGATTAGATTCTAAATTTAAAAATTAAGATTCTAGATTTTCGTATAAATTTAATATATATTTTTGATTTATATTCAATTAACAAATTATTATTAGAAAGTAAAATATAATGCTAGTAAAATAAAAATTTTTTCTAGAACTGCCAAATTTATTAGGATTTTTAGGATTGTTTAAAATCATTTAACATTCCTACTTTAGATCAATAAATCTTATATAATGATATATTCTTTTCTTTTTAAATATTATATCTCTTTTAATTGATTAAACTTTTCTTTAGATTTCTAAAATTAAAGATTTTAAATTTCATATTATATTTTTTAGATTTAAATAACTATATGATTTAAAAAATCATTTTATATCAAAAGTTAGTTGTAATCTGAATTGATAAACATTTTAGTATAAAAGTATAAATCTAAAAAGCCTTATAAAATAATTAATAAATTAAATTCTCTTATGTTATAAATTGGAATTAATAAGCATTTTAACTAAAAGTTTATATAAAGTTATTTATTAGTTTTTTAATTTTTTTATATATCAATTTTCTTCTTTTGGATATTATTTTTAATTTTAGATTTTTTATTAAGTTTCAGAATTGAGAAAATTTATTACTCCCTTAATATCATTATTTTCATTAAAGTGTTAATATAATCAATCAACTTAAACAGATTTAAAATAAAATAATTTAAAGATATAATTTTAAACTTAATGAATTTTATTTTGCTTATTTATTTTAATTAATACATATATGTGATAAAATTGCATCATTAAAAAGTTAAAAAATAAAAAATTTATTAGTTTCTACTAAATTGATATATTATTATTAAATTACCAAATCAGTTAATACTTAATTTAACTTAATTAGATTAAAATTTTATTTATAATCTTATATAATATAAATTACTCATAAATCTATAAATCATATTTTAATCAAGCTAATTATTTGACTATAATAAATTATATCTTATTATAATATAAAAAAAAAAAAAAAATCATAATAAAAAATAATTAATATTATTCCTTCTATAAGAATAAGATCTTATCATAAAAATAATATTTTTCAGAATTTAATCATTTATAATAATATAAGTTTTTTCTATTATCTTAGAAAATGGATTTTTGATTTTAAGAAAATTTTTAAAAAATAAGAATTTTAATATTAAAACTAGTAGCAACCTATATTTGTTATTTTATTAATAATAGTTTATGTTTAAAATAATAAATAAAATTAAAATTTAAAGTTTTAAAAAAAGTAAAAATATATCTTTTATTTTATATTAAATAAATAAATTACCTATACACAACTAAAATTTGTCACCTAATTTTATATGAAATATTTTATCATATAGAGTTGGATTTTAATTTTTTCTATTTTATTATATATTTTAATATTTTTAATAAAAATAAATTATCATTTTCAATACAAAATATATAAAATAAAATATAATAAATTATTAATATTTATTTTAAATTTTTATAATAAAGCTTATTTAATATATTTCTTTATAGTTTTTATTTTAAAAAATCAAATTTTATTTAATAATTATTCTATAATAAAAAATTTTATTATAATATGGGGGCAGTCAGTAGAAAAGGGGGAAATCCAAAATTTTTGTTAATTTTAATTATTAAGCTAATTTTGTGCACATGACCGAGATCAGCCAAGTGGTCCAATAATATAAATTTTGATCAAAATTTGGATTTCCCACTTTTCTACTGACCGCCTCCCATATACACATATATTTTTAATTTAATTAGTAATACTAGCTGTTGGAATTAGAATCAATAGTTGAGTTATTGACTAAGCTATGATTGAGTTGATATTGCAAATTTGATATAAGTCAAAATCTTGTAAAATTTTTAATTAAATAAATCTTCAAATTTTTAGTCAAATAGAATTCTTATAACATTATTTATAATGTAACTTATGATTATTTACTTTTTGCAACATTAATTAAATTTTAAAAATTTTTGTTAAATATTAAAATATTAATAATATAATTATAGTCACTAAATTTAAATAAGAAACTTGACTTAGTCAATAGCTGAGTCAACTGAAAAGTTTTTAATGGCTAACTAAGTCAACTACAGAATTTGTTATAAATGATACTACTAATTTTAATATACATAATTTAAAATTACTTTTATTAAAATAAATATGCTAAATCAATAATAATATAAATATCTTTTAATATTTATTACTTAGGATATTATAAAATATAACAAAAACACAAGCATTATACATAATATTTATAAATAGATTAATAATTAAATTATTTAAATTATTAATTATAAATTATAAAAAAAGAATATTAAAGTAAAAATATTGAAGCTAATAAAAAAGCCATAAAATATTTAGAAATAAATTAACGTTAAGAGAAATACTTTTTTATTAATTATATAATAGCATTATCTTTAATATGTTAGTTTATCACATAATTCTTAGAGAAAAACCATATATTATATAATATTATATATAAATTTGCGTGTAACATCATCGATATGTACGATTATTTTCATCTGGAATGCGAATCTTTAATACTTGATATCTTCCATACTTTTTTTACATTAACAAATGCGCAAAGAAAAATCTAAAGTCGATCCACCATTAATTCTGCCTTTTGCTCCTATCGAAGACGAGCCAATGTCGTCTTTGAAAGTTGGAAAGGCTAAAATTACTTCAACTGATACTTCACCTCCAATACCGTCACTTGTCAGTGAGGAGAAACCCAAAGAAATAGTTTTACAACCTACTGGAGATACCGGGAGTGCTGAAGAAAGAAACTTGACGTGAGTTTGTAATCCTACGGCTTGACTTACATAAGTGAAGGGGAAAAAATAAATATTGTCACACGTGTCCTAAAACCGTTGCCGCTTAAACTCCATAAGAATTTTTTTTTTAAAAAAAAAAATTGCAACAAAATTTATAGATCCATTTTAATAAAAATTTAACTATCCATTACGATTTTTGGTATTGTCAACTAAAATAGACGACATCACCCCGGTCACTTTCGTGATGATCCGGTAGCTTTTATGATACAAATGGGTGCCTTCTATCAAGGAACGGTAAGTCTGATCTTTTGGTCTCATTTGATTGATCAACTATTAAGCAATATTAACGTTTTGATTTAAATTATAGGGTTGGAGAAGTTACAAAAATTATATAGGAACAAGGATATTATACGAGGGATATACAGAAGAAGTGAAGGAACGGGTTCTTAATAGTGAACGCGGTAAAACCAATAATCATTAAGAAATAATAGTCTGTATTATATTTACATCTATAATTAACATATAATAATGATTTAAATTATATTATAGTTCTTTACATGATTGCATATTTGGCCGAAAAGCAGGCCAACCAACTTGCACAATCAATACCAAATGCTACATCAAAGGTGATTGCAAAAAGGAAAAAATTACTAGAAAAGGAATTACAAACTGTTGCAAATGGGATGGTTGATAAATTAGTTGCAGACCTGAATAGTTTGAGGTTTATTAGGTTTGTTATAACTGTGACCATTTTGAATTAAGATCATCAATTTAATAATTGTGTATTTAAGAGAGGAGATGTTCATCATGTTATTTCCTTTTTAGACTTTTCGGCTTTTTTGTAAATAATATACTAGTAAGAATGTATCATCAAGGAATTCACATATCAGAACGCGAGTTTCTTGAGGCAAGATTAATTAAACTTTTGTGTTTCGTTAAAATACTTTCTTTATTATAATTAACATATTATATATGTATGATTTATTTGACCTTTTAGATTCGTCGAATAGCTATTATTGCTGCTCAAAATTCACAATCTCTTATTATCCTTCCATGTCACAAATCTCATATTGATTATCTTGTCATATCATATATATTTTTCCGATTGGGACTTGCTCTTCCACATATTGCCGCAGGTGATAATCTTGATCTACCAATTGTTGGTAGAATACTTAAGCAAGGTGGTGCATTTTATATCCGGCGTTCTTGGGGAGAAGATCAACTATACGGTAGTGTGGTAAAAGAATATGTTGAGGGCTTATTGGAACGTGGCCATAATGTTGAATGTTTCATAGAAGGCACAAGAAGTAGAACTGGAAAATTGCTACCACCGAAGTTAGGTGTTCTAAAAATAGTATTAGAATGCATATTAACGGAAAGGGCAAAAGATTGTTGGATTGTTCCTATGTCCATTCAATATGATAAAGTGATCGAGACAGAAACCTATGTTAATGAATTGTTAGGAAATCCCAAAGAAAGAGAAAGTTTATGGGGTATAGTCACCAATACGAGATTATTACAGCTTAAATGGGGTCGAATTGATGGTAACATATTATTATTATCTATAATTTTATAAATTCATTTATCAACATTTGATTTATATGAAATCTTTTTAGTACGATTTGCCAAACCATATTCGCTCAAAGGATTTATTGAAGATCAAATTGAGAGGAGAAAGTAATTGTCTAATTTATATTATTTATTTCGGTATTTAAATATTTAATTCACAAATTTTTGAATTACTGCAGGTCTTTTGATCTAAACAATGATCAGCAAAAAATTACATTGTTGAGAGCTCTTGCCTATCAGTATGTATTATCACATAGTAAATTCCATTGGCCTTGTTTTTTGTTTTGATAACATACATCATACAATCTTATTAAATATCGAATCGTATTTAGGGTTATGTCAGACATTGTAAGTATTTGACCTAAATTAGATAAATTTATTAAAAAGAAATAATCGCCTGACATTTAAATGTTATCATCTTCCCATTAATAACAATAATTAGAATTCCGTTTCGGTAGTAATGCCGACTGCTCTTGGTTAGTTTATATATATATATAAATATATATTTTTGATGTATATGATAACGGTGTATTTTTCTAACAATTTAAAATATTTGTTTATTAAAGTTGGTACCGTAATATTAACGTTACGTGGTCGAGTAAGTTTTTAAGCTGACTTATCCTTAATTAACGATAACCTTATTATCATTTAAATTAACCAAATAACATTTATAGGGAGTTGGTAGAAAGGAGTTAATTAGACGTGTAGAATGGTTAAGAGCCGCGATTACAGCTAAGGGAGGACGTGTAGCAGATTTTAGTGGTATGAGCATTGGAGATATCGTTGATAGGTAAATTTGATTTTATTAATATATTTTCTTACATAATAAGATGCAATTGTTTCTAATTTAAATTTTATCATAGGGCTATCAATGTATTAAAGGATTTGATTAAAGAACGAAAAGAATTGCTGGAGCCAGTTTTTTATGCAGAAAAAAGATTTGAATTAAGTTTTTATCGCAATCAGGTAAATATACTTGATGTATAAGTTATTGGACATTAATAAGGACTAATTCAATATTCATTGATATTATAAGGTGATGCATCTATTTGTATCAGAAGGTATGTGCATTGTTCATATGTTCATTTTTCTTTTCAATGGTTTAGGAATTAATATATTTTTTTTTTATTTTTATCGACTTTTATTAGCTATTATATCTGCGGCAATGTATACAAAAATAAAACAGGGAGGAGCTAAATCAACGCAACGACTTCATATGTCTACACTTTTGGATGAAGTAACATTTTTATCTCAGTTGTTAAAGGTTGAATTTGTATATCAACCTGGTGAAATCGAAACAAATTTGGAAAATACGATCAATGGATTAATAGTATGTTTAAGATTATTTTATAATTATAATGATAAAGTTTTATTTATCTAATATTAAGTAAACCTGCAGGATGATCAAGTCATGGAATTAGTAGACAGTTATGTTTTATTATCTGATAAGGAAAGAGCAATTGGACGAGAGAATTATGGTAAGACGATTTATATTTTTTATTATTTTTTTTTTTTTAAAAAAATCTTAACGATACGATTACATTTAATGTCACAAGACTTTTACTGCTTCCTAATATGGCCTTTTATTGAAACATATTGGTTAGCTGGTAAGTAACTATATATGAATTAAATGATTGACGTCGTATATTAATTTTTAATTAAATGTTATAATTATACAGCTATTAGTTTATTCTCGATGACGCCAACCATTTCTCTCACAACTACTAATACTGCAACAAAAGACCCTGTTCCTATAACATGGTTCAATGAACGAGATTTTCATAATAAATGTCAACTATTTGGTAAAACGTTATATTATCAAGGAGATTTATCATATTTTGAAGCTATAAATAAGGAAACTTTAAAAAATGCATTTATTAGGTTGGAAGAAGTAGGGCTTATAATGGTAAAACGTAGTCGAAACACAAAAGTAATGCCAACAATTGCGTTACATTCTGATTATGTACCAACTAGAAATTCAGAAGGAGCAATAGAAACAAAGGGTAAATTATGGGATCTAGTTGAAAGGATTGGTAAATTTCGTAGAGAAGGGAAAAATCGTAGAGATAATGCTACAGTAAGTTCGCGTGTATTAAGATTAGCTGAAATGGTGGGTACACCTACTACAGCTGACGTCGTCGTGATGACTAATTTAATGAGTAGACCAGTTAAAGCTGGTAAACTGGAAGCAAAACTTTAATTTTAATCGTGTGAGTAATTTCCCATCTGATTAACCTCATTTTCAAAATCAAAAAAAAAAAATTATTTATGTATTTATAGATTGAATTATTAATTTTTCACTTTTAAAAAAGCATAATCTTTTTAAGTTAATTAAAAAAAAATATATTTGAAAGCGTAGCCAAGTTAATTTTATTTTGAGTAGAAAATTAAAATTTTTATATATGAAGGAAATGATGATATTGATGATATACAACATAATGATTCCAAATGTCCTTTTGTATTCGATCAAAGAAATATAAAAAAGAAAAGAAAAAAGATAAGGAAAAAAAAAAATTTAATCAAAAGTTTTTTTTTTTTTGCATAAATATCAAATAAATGCAAGCAATATATAAACAGAAAAGACAAATGATTGTTTAAATAATCAAACTGTCCTAAAAAATGTGCGCAATATACAAAAAAGTTCAGTAAATTTAAATCCTTGATATGATAATATCAATATCAAATTAGGGATAATATATATATATATATATATATTAAATAAATAAATAAGGTATAAATAAAAATTATTTTTTTAAAATTTACAAAGAAAAAAAAAATAGGTTGAATTTTCAGCATTCTGAAGAATTTTTAGCATATTTAGCTAATAATTCTTCCCGTTTCTTTTCCCATCTCCTCCATTCACCATTGCCAAGACTATTATTATGAGAGCTCATTGCGTAATCTGTTGGAACGCCAGGGGTTTCATTCACCCATAACATTGAAGGTTGATTAGGAGCTCCATAACCATACATATATTCTTCATTACCATTTCGCCAATTTCTAGCACCACCATATTGCATTGCATTAACAGTTCCAGAACTCAAAGTTCTACCTCTTCTTTCAAAAGGTCGATTTCGGTTATAATTATAAAATGAAGCGCGCCTAAAGTGCTGTGTTGCAAGAGTATCACTCCCTAATAAAGGAGTTCTTTCATCATCAGGTGATCCTCTTATTCTACAACATCGACAAATACAACAACAGAGACAGAGTAATACTGAAATAAATAGTATCCCCGCGACTGCTGAAATTAAAGATATAAGGGCCTGCTTATGGGTGACTGTCATGTAAATTAAAAAAAGATTTATCTTAAAAAGTTAATTCTGATTGGATTTGATTGAGGGAGATTATTCAAGAATTATTGTTCGCTTACCAAAACATTGAGCATATTCATATTCCCAATTATCGTCTTGGCATAACTTTGGGTTCTTGAAAGGTTCATTCCAACTACCTTGTACGCATATATCGTCCTAATTTTAAGATATTAGTTAGTACAAACGAACGAAAATATTAAAAGGTAAAGGAAAAAAATGGACATACCTTTACACAAAAACCACACCCTAAACGACTAGTACATTCTCCACAGGTAGTAAAACCAGAACAATTTATTGGTTCTATAATTAAGAAAGAAGGGTTGGATAAAAACAAAAAAAAAACTTCTAGATAGGATTTAATATAGCAAAATTTATATATACCTGTAATATTACTCTGAGCAAAGGTTGTGTGCGCGTTCAGTAAATTAAACGCAAAAAGAATGCTAAAATGTGTAAAGCGACTTTTTTGCAAGGACATAATTCAAAAAAAAAAAATTATCAGGTTTAACTTGAAGTAACTTTTATTAATAAAAACTAGTTTCTAAATTTTCAAAGGACCTTTACAAAAGAAACCTTATGAATTAGGTGAGCCAAAAATAATAGAAACCACAGCTTATATATTAAAAAGAAAGACGAGGAAAAAAAATTTTACGGTGTGGGATAAAAAAATAAGGGGCTTGGTTGGATTAAGCTTTTAATTATTTTAATTAATTTATATATATAAAAAATTTTATTATTATTTTTTTTTTTTACACAGGAAAATTTCTTGTTTGTTAAAGTTCAATGTCATAACAAAAATTAACCCCCGAAGATTTTCAGTATTTCAAAATGCAACATCTAATTTTATTTTGGATTTTGGTCGATTTTTGAGGAGGTTGATTATAAAGATGAGCGACATGCATTATCAATAAATAAAAATTGGGATTTCATATAAAAATAATCTCACGTGAGAGATTTACGAGAATCAAATGTTCGATAAAAAATCCTTTGAACGTCATATTACCTTTTATAAACGCCAAAAAAACTTTTTTTTTCCTTATCTTTTTCAAAAAAAAAAAAATTTTGAAAAGAATTATTTATGACCAAATAGTAATACATACATACAGGAAATTCTTCTTTCAAATTTCAATCATTATTAAAAAATAAACAAGTTTCTTTATCGATTAAATAATTAAAATTTTCCTGCAGATATAATTTCCTATCAGGAATTTTTTTTTTTTTTATTTTACATTCTAACTTCCATATTTCGAACTTTTATTTCTTTCAAACATTCGAAAAAAAAAATACTATGTCAATTTTATCTAAAGAAGGGATTATTTTGTCTTACCCAATATGGTTAATATGAAAGTGCAGAAAAAGTTTATTTTAAAAAATTGCAGCCAAAATTCATTCCTTTAAAATCCAAATTCATTACTATTTTTGTTTCATATTAGTTTATGGGCGTAAGTAGGCAATAATAAAATACAAGGAGCTTCGTAAATGCAATTCACGTGATAAAATCAATAGTATTCTTGTAGCACTGCGCACAGAATGTAATTGGTACAAACACAACTATCCTGTAAAGTTTTAAAAGTGTGATAAATTGGATGCATTTCTAAAAACGAGGATTTTGTAATCCATTTTAAGAACTTCAGATGATTATAAATGTTTATTATTTTTTAAAAAAAAATAGCCGAAATTTATCATTAAGCGTGTTTTTTGCCACAATTTTGATACAAATCGGTAAATTTCGAAAAATTAAAATTTCCGAATTTTTTTTGCTAGTAACAATATTAATAAATCAGTCTATCCGGGGAAGCTTTATTAAACCACAATTTTAGATTTTAAATATAATCAAATTACAAAATGATTTTTGTCCGTATTTAGAAATATGAATGATCTAATTTATTTTTATTTACAAATAAAAAAAAAATAACTTTGACGAAATTGAAAACCAATAAACATCGCATTTGAAAATTTAGAAGAGGTGAAGCAAGTTGAAGCGGAGAGATTAGTTGAAATATATATACGCAAAAATTATCTTCATTCAGTTCGAGTCAACAAAACCTGCTACTTTAAGTTGTCTAACTGCTTTATGCATGTGGTATGCTTTATCAGATTGGTTTTATAGTCCACCCAACCCGCATCAAATTGTTATCTTACGATACTAACGACTGAAAATTAGTATTAACGCAAGATTAACAAAGGGTTTGTCGGTTTGCCAAAAAAATACCCTCTGATATATATGCGTGCTTGTCATTTCAAAATTCTTCAACTGTCGCCTCCTGCCACACCACAAACCTATATTATGCATCTAGCACCTAGAGCTAGTAGGTGTATATAATATAGATCAAGCTCAGAAAGTGGCGTTTTTCCGGCCTTTAGTCTTGATTCATGTTTTTGTGATATGGGTTTAGAAAACAGATCAGAAGATTTAGGTGAAATAATTTTAAAGTTTGCTTCTTAAAGGAAGCAAGAAACGTGACCAAATCGATGAAAATACGTGGAAAAGTCTAGTCAATGACAAACAAATTTTGTTAATTATTCATAAAGGTAAGTATTTCTTGATTTAGTTTGAAACAACGAATTTGTTTTTGTTGATAAAGCACCTGCACTTCAAGTGGAAAATCCCTCTAGTTTCAGCAAGTAACATTAAATACAACGTTTTCCGAAGCCAATTGCGATATGGATGTCTTTGTCATTATAAACTTACGCATGAACATTGCAATCTAGTGTGATAATCAATAATTGGTACATATATATTATTAATTTATCATTTGAACGAAAACTTTTTTTTTTAAATTTGAAAGAAATTAGTACTATAATAACTATAATAATTAATTTTGTGTAAAAATTATTCTTTGCTATAGTTTATTATTATGACAATTTTATATATAATTAAACATAAAAAAAGAAATATGCAGTTGATTCTTTATATAGCCACTTCATTCTTATAAACATATTTTTGTTTAGCTAAAATTATTAATAAACTATTAAAAAGTTCTCTTTTATAATCATAATATAACTTATTTACAATTATACCAATTTTTTTGATTTTAAGAGATGATTATATTGGATATTGATTATTTTAAAAATAATAATTGCAGAGATCATTGCTTGATCAACCTCTTTTTATCTTTCTATTAATTTCATTTCATTATGAATAAAAAAATATCAAAATAATTTGCAGTATTTTAATTCTAACTTCTTTTACTAATTTAACAAGTAATTTATTATTCATTATAATAATAATAACAATATTCTATAACTATCATAAAAAGTGGTGTTATGATCAGCATAATGCAAAAAATGAGAGAGTTTATTTGAGCAATCTCTTTTTATATTCCATCAATTAAATTTTTTAGCTAATTAGCGCAGCTTTATCAAAAAAAAAATGCCTTTTAGCTTCTGGTATTATTGACTTAAATGCTTTACTTTTTTAGCTAATCAAATCATTTATAAATCTATTGAGGAAAATGCTTGAGAATACCTTTTATTAACTTATTGTTTTAATGTTTTAAGCTCTCATATGCTTTAATTGTTCTTATTATCTTGTATCTACTTTAAATGTTTCTTTGAATTAATAGTATTATTATCACAATTATTGCAAAATATATGTTTATTTTTTACTAGTTTAGAAATGTTTAAGCTACTATATCTAATACAAATAACTGTTTATGAATGAAATCCTCAAAAATATTAATATTATTAATATAGTTAATATAATTGATATATTTAACATATAGTATTTAATTTATTTAATATATTTTATTTATTTAATTTATTTAATTTATTATTATATGTATTTCAAAATAATAAATATAATAGCTTAAAACTTATAAAAAAAGCAGCATTTGATAGGCTATAAACAATTAACAATTTTACAAAATATTTTAAATAGCTGTATATTTTTTTCTTCATAAAGTTACCTTTTTCTTATTATATTTATTCTTTTTATTTTTATTTCTTCTTCTTATATTATTATCAATAAACTCTTCTTTTACTTTTACATCTTCATAAATCTTTGTGATATAAGTTTTATAAAAAACAATTTTTAGTAATATATAATCTTTGAGTTTTAGTTATAATTAGTGATACCTGACGAAATTACCTTTCTTAATATGACAAAATTGACGAAACGAAAATGACAAAACTAGTTTTTTATTAATGATGAAATTATTTTACTTAATTGCTGAAATTATATTTAACTTGATCTAAATTTCTTAAATTAAAATACATTAAAAAATATAATAATTTTATATTTACTTATATAAAAATATTAAAGAGATGAAACTTTTGACGAAATTACAATTTTTCAAAAAAGAGTTTAGTCAGGTATCACTAGTTATAATATAGGAGCTTTGCAATAGAAAGGGAGAAAACTCTAAAAAAATTTTTTTTTTTGAGTTAATGTTAAATCTGAACTTATTTTACAAAAAAAATCATAATTAGCTTAAAAAATAAAATTTTAATTTTTTTAGAGTTTCCTCCCTTTCTATTGCAAAGCTCCTATATATAAGCCTTCATAAATCTTTGTAATACTATAAATCTTCATAAAATACAATCTTTACATTAATCAAATGATAACAAATAGAAAACTAATTAGGTTAAATCTGAATTGTCAGATTGAACTTTATTGATCTCCTATTTTTTATTTAGCATCAGATAATTCTAATTGATGAGAATAATGACACAAATAAAGACATTAGAATTTCAATCAAGGTATTATAAAAATATCAATAAGATTATTCTTATTGATATCAATTTATTAACATTTAACTTTCAATTAGATTATTTCTAAATCATCAATAGGGATATTCTTATTTTTTTTAAAAAAAAGTGCAGTTGATTTTGTGATATATAGGGGAATATAAAATGTATTGGCTACCAATTAACGTAATACAAAAGAAGTATATTTCATTATATTTCTAGCAGATCAAGCTACAATTTTTTTAAGTTACACATGATTTTAATTGAAAAAATAACATAAATAAAACATCATATTATACTTTTTAAAAAAAATTGCAATAATGTATCTTGAAAAATAGTAAAAAGTTAGGGCATACAAATAGCAGAATTTCTGCAGTTATTGATTGTTCTCATTCATCTATATGATAAGGATAAGTATGTGAATTTTATAAACAAAATCAACTTTTAATAAAACGAACTGATAAATCATAATTTCTTAATGAAATCAAAAGCAAATGTCTTAAGCGTTTATTGGTTAGAAATAAAAAATCTTATCATCAAACTCTTTTTAAAATATGTTCAAACTATATAACCAAAATAAATAAACCTATTTTTATATAAACTATTCATAATAAATTGGTTAAGAAAGGTCATCATTCACATATTCCCTATTTCAATTAAAAGAAATAAAATAAAATGTTATTCTTAGGCTTGTACTTATGAAAATTAGAAAGTAGAAAATTTTAAAAAGTAACCTGATTAAACAGTCTACTTACACATAATTTAGAACTTCAGGTTTTAGACATGTATAGCATGAATCTTTTAAAGAATTCTATAAAAACTGCATTGCAACTATAGTTCAAAAAAGTTTTGATCATATATTTTAGAGGTGTTTTTTTTTGATTAGATTAGGTCCTTTACTTTCCTTATTTAATCACATTACTGAAGATACATATTATGAAATTTTGGTTAATTATATAATTTCTACAATTAAATCTTATACAAGAAAAATCAAAAAGAAATTTCTTTTCCAATAAAATAATGTATTTGAAATTCGTCAATAAGCTTATTTAGTTTATTGAATTGTATTGATCTACTTATATTTTATTAATAAACTAAACTTTATTCCTATAATAATGATCTGTTAAACTCATGACATAAAATCCAATTTATCATTATTGCTCTCTCATTATATTTAAAGTATTTATACATATTCCCAATTTATATTTATATATCCTTAACATTCCCTTTACTTATATTGTTAATTCAATAGTTTTATTAATGTGAACAAGTTCTTAAAATTATTAAGTTAAATCATTATCTTTCAGATACCTAAAACCTTGTTATACATGTTGAAGTCTATTTTTCAGTTAGTAGACTTCGTAATTGACTTGTATAATAATGATAAATAATGAATAATATTTAAATTTTAGTTCAGTTTACAATATAACACTGATAAACTTTTAGAATATTCTGAATAAATTTTTTCCTTCTTTTTTTTTTCTAGTGAGGTGATTTTTGAGAAGAAATTTAACTTTTTCCTTTTTTTTTCTTTTTTTTAGAAAATTCTTATTTTTTTGGAATTAAAGTAAGCAAATTAGAAGTGACTTTTATAGCATTTTCCTTTCTTTTTTCTTGTTTTTTTTAGAAAATTTTTATTTTGGAAATTAAGGTAAATAAATCAGAAGTAATTTTTAAATGGTTTTTAACTTGTTTTTCTTGTTTTTTTTTAGTTTTGAAATTAAGGTAAGCTTTTCAAAGGTGGTATTTTTTAACTGTTTTCTATTAAGATAAGCCTTATAAAGTTGATATTTGGTAGTTTTCTAACTATTTTCTTTATTTTTTATTTATTTTTTTTTAGGAATATATTAAGGTAAGTCTTTCAGAGATGATATTTTGATTTTTTTAATTGTTTCTTTACTTTCTTTAAAAATACATTAAGGTTAACCTTTTGGAAATGATTTTTTGGTAGTTTTTTAAACATTTTCTTTATTTTTTCTTATCTTTAAAAAATCAAATATATCTTTTTTATAATATAATATATTTTTTTTTTGAGTAATTTATTAATTTATTATGTAATAATAAAATAAAATTATAAATCATAAATAAATAAAAAATGAGTTTTATTAATTTCAATTTTATAAATTATTATTTAATTGATTTTTGCTAATTGTTGATCAATTTTAAACTGATTTATGCTGAATTTTGATTAATTTTTAATATAAATGCTGATTAATAGCTAATTTTCTATTTATTCAAAATGTGGATTTTTTGGCAATAATTAGTAGAATTAGATTATATTTCAGACAACTCTCAATACTTTAAAAAAGTGACAAAATGAATTATTTTGACTAGTAAATATAATAATAATTTATGAAAATGAAAAATTTATTGTTCTGATTTAGAAGAATTGGGTAAAATTTTATATTTTATATTTAAATTTTAATTTTAAATTATAAAACTCTTATTTAATATTATAATTAATTAATTTATATAGAATAAATAAAAATTATTTTATTTTTATTTTTTTTTTAATAAAAATTTTTTAATTTTAAAAACTATATTTATTAATAATTAAATATATAAAAATTGCAACTAAAAATAATATATACAATATATTGATTAGATGTATAAAATCCAACCAAAAATAATGTATACAATATACTGATTAGACGTATAAAATCTATGTAAAATTACGTATATAATATACTGATTAGACATATAAATTCTATATTTTTCTGCATATGGAAAAAGACAATTTTCAGTATCTAGTATATAAAAATATTTATAAATTTATTATACTATTTTTCTATGTATATTATATGTTTTTAAAACGTATTATTTCTGTATATTTTTCTTATATAAATTATTTATAAGGCAGCTGATTTTTTACATTTTCATATTCTTAAATATAAACTAGAATTTATTTATAAATACTGTTAATTCTTTTATTTTTTTAACATTAAAAACAGTTTGTAATATTTGATTTATATTTCTTTTAAGTTTATTATAATAATAATCATTATCAGAATAATAACAATTTAATAATTTATCATTATTATTATTTAAAATTTCTAATTAAGTTTTATTAATTATATTATTTATATTTAATATCTTACTGTTTTATATAGATATAAGCTGAATTTTTATACTTTTAGTAGCATTTTATAAGTAGTTAAATATAAGAATCTACAATTGCAAATAAATATATATTAAAATGCTAAAGATGATTAATCTGAGTTATACTAATTTTTAATTCTGATTAATTTATAAATTTTAGTTCATATTGTATTAATACTAAACTTATTAAATTTATTTTTAAACTTAATAAAATAAAACTAATATAAAAATTTATATATTTTATACTGTAGTAATTTAATTTGAAAAAATATTCTATTACATAAAAAATATTATTTAAATTACAGCTTTATAAAGAGATTTTTGAAAAATATCAATTCAATTTTTTTCCATTAATTGCAGAATTATTATAATATAAAAAATATGAAGAAGTAAATGATTGATATATTTAATATAATATATTTATTTTATATATTTAATATAATACATTAATTAGTGATAATTAAATTATTATTAGATAAATTAGAGATTAATGTCCTAATTTCCTTTCTATTATTATTTTACTTAATAATCTTGATTATTTTAAAACATATATTAACAATATAGTCACGTGGCCAACATATATATATTCAACCAATAGAATTTAGGTGCGATTCCATAAAAAAAAAAAAATAAAGGAAAAAGATTCGATCATTTTCATCATCCTCCTAAAAAAAAATGGGTAAGTTATATAAGTTCATTATTAAAAATTATATCAAGCAAAATGGGTTGTTATCGATTAATTATTTGGGATATTTTAAAAGTGTAAACCTAACTTTAATATTGATTTGATAATTCTTTCTTTTCGACAAATTTGATATCCTATTTAATTTATGTTATATTAGGTAAAGGAAAACCAAGAGGATTACAAAGTGCCCGTAAATTGCGCACACACCGTCGTGAAGAGCGATGGGCCGATAAAGCATATAAGAAGAGGGCATTAGGTACAGCGTATAAATCATCACCGTTTGGCGGTTCTTCTCACGCAAAAGGCATTGTACTTGAAAAAATGTAACTTTTTTTATTTATTCCTTTGAATTGTACTTGATTATTTCTCTAATCTCAATTTATATGTGATCATTAAGTGGTGTGGAAGCTAAACAGCCAAATTCTGCTATTCGCAAGTGTGTTCGTGTTCAATTAATTAAAAATGGAAAGAAGGTTACAGCTTTCGTTCCCAATGACGGTTGCTTGAATTATGTAGATGAAAATGACGAAGTCCTAATTGCTGGATTTGGTCGTAAAGGTCGTGCTGTAAGTAATCGGCCATTTAAAATTTTCTCTTAAATTCAACGGGATCTAATTGTATTTTATTTATTTTCTAGATCGGGGATATCCCTGGAGTTCGATTCAAAGTAGTCAAAGTGTCGGGGGTATCTCTCCTTGCTCTGTAAGTTCATCTTTTAACTTTAATTCTTTTCAATATCGACTCTATATGATGATCTTTAATATTTTTGTCAATATTTATAGATACAAAGAAAAGAAAGAAAAACCTAGATCTTAATACATTGTTCCTTTTTATTGATATAAGATTTTAATAAATTTTTAAAAAGTTTTAAATTATCTCTTTTTTTTTGACTTAGTAATAATAATAAAAATCGAATAAAAAAATTTGGATTTTGTATAAAGATGGGAAATATTTTACATTGCGCTCCGCGATCTTAGATTTTGATTTTGATTTTGATATAGTAATATACTGTATATACAAGTATCACGTAATTAGAATATATTAAACTTAAATAATCGCATTGTTATTTCTACTGGAGAAAATTCAAAGGAGAACGATTTATAATTTTTTATGATTTATTTGTAGATGATCGCGACCCTTGATATATAATCTATTTATTCAAAATAAATTTGCCAGTCAGTAGATGAACTTTAAATGCTAAAACAATTGATTACGTTTTCAAAAGGATAATTTGACACCTCATTACATTATTACTTTATTTTTATTACTCAATTTTGATATGATTAATTAATTTTAATTTTTAACCAATGGGGTTTTTATAATTAATAATTTAATGATTTTTAGGTTCAACCTATAGTTTTTTTTTGTTAAAATATTTATATTAATGTATTTATAATTGAATGCATTTTATTATTTTGATATAATTTCTTAATCTCCTCCAGCTCCTTCCCATCCAAATCTTTCAGCATCATTGGCATTGTTGGCTTGAGCAGCTCCATTATCACCACCTTGTCGCCATACACGTGCAACACCAATACCTGCTATTCGATTGTTCTCTGCTTGATTCCATCTTAATTGCCTTAAATATACCAAATAACCAACCAAAAGACACAATGCTAATATCATTAAACTTTCAATTAAATCATCTCTCCCGTATTCCTCATCATCATATTCATCTTCTAAATTACTCGAAGAATCTGAAAATTCATCAACACCTTTCTTTCGAGCATTATAATTCTTAATTAATTGTTCACCATCCGGGCCTATTGCATCCCATTCTTTTCGCTCTTTTAAGTTGGAACCTTCTTTAGACATTGTTCGAACTTGTTCCACTGACCCACCAGTTTCTTCATCTTCACCATTAGACGACGGATCGCCCCACCATAACATTCTGGACGATTCATCTGCATCATCCAAAATTTCCTTTCTAGAAATAAAATTCCAAAAACTTTTTGCATATAATTTAGTTAAAGATAATTTTACTGGTAAATACGCGTCGGGATTGGTTGAGAGAGATTGGTCATACCATCTTTTAGCAAGATGAAAATCCTAAATAAAAAGTCAAATTATCTTAAATCACCTTTATAAAATAAATAGAATATTAAACAAATATAAATAATAATAGAAAACAAACTCGAGCTACTCCTATGCCATTTTCATGCATCCATCCAAGATTCCACATAGCCATTGCACTTGATTCCGCTTCTGCAGCTACTTGATAACAAGCAGCAGCTTTTACATAATTAACTTCTGTACCAAATCCTTTAAAATAATAATCTCCCATTTTTACACGTGAATCAACATTTCCTTGATTCGCTGATCGTGTCCAATATATTAATGCTAATTTCTCTCGAAATGGGTCTACCTTTGGCACTAAGTGTGGTGGATGCCATCGTGATTTATCTGTAATTACAAATATTACATAAATTTACTTTCAAACTAAATTAAAATAAGAAAAATTTAAAATACCTTGATCCAATAACCATGCGGCATTTGCCTGACCTAATTCATAACCTTTCTCTGCAGCTAGTAGATGATTTATTAGTGCAGAGTCTCTATCACCTATGTGATACGCTCTATATGCTGCTGGAAATGGTGAATGTAACCAATCACCTCGTTCGGCCACATTTTTATAGAACTGTATTACCAGGAAAATTAATAAGTTGTAGACAATTAATAAACCAAACGGGAAAAACATATACATACTGCAGCTGCTACAGCACAAGATTTTTCGGTCCCTAATCCCTGAGCATACATTTCAGCTAAGTAATAATGAGCCAATATATGATGATCTTGGTTTGCAGCTAATCGGAAAAATTCAAAAGCGGTTTGATAATCACCTTTCTGGTCTAAATATAAAAATGAAATGTTAGTCACGAGAAAATTGATAATTATGTAAAATAACGAATCATTTATACTCCAACCTACGCAAGTAAATTAAACCCAAATTCACTTGAGCTTCGGAATATTCTTTTTCTGCCGCAAGTTTGAATAAATGTATGGCTTGATCGTAATTCTATTTATTAATATAGGTGAGACAATTAATATTATATAACTCAATGAACACAATGAATTAATATGTTTACCTTCGTTACTTCAACACCTTCCATATACATCATTCCAAGTCCATTCCAAGCAACTGGATCATCCTATGTTATATTTAATATAAACAATTATATTGGTTTGTAATAGAAGTAAACAAGAAAGTAAAATTAAAAATTTTAACGAACCAATCGGACACCTCTAATAAACCATTTGAGAGCCGTTTTATTATTTGGCTCAACTCCTTCACCACGCCAATACATTCTCCCTAAAATTCCTGCTGCTTGTCCAGCAGCAAGCCTTTGTTTAGGAGTCATATTCGGTGGATCATCAAATGTGTTTTCTGATGGCCAATAATTGTTAGCAACATCCTTGAGAAATTTATATGCACGTGGGAAATTTTGATTAATATTACGGGTTCCCTGATAATAGAGTTGCCCTAAACCTAGCTATAGCAAAAGTAGATATACTCATTAATTCGCGCAAATTGTTTCTTTTTTAAAAAAATTAATATATATGTATTAAAAACTCTACCTGAGCCGTCATATCTCCATTTTCAGCCGAATAATGATAAAACTCTAGTATATCATCCCAAACCGCTTGGTCTGGTTTCGATGAATAACCAGAACCTGGCCCACTAGCTCCATATCCATATACTCCACCGTCCTCATCATATAATCTGCTCTTGAGAAGAGGAGATGGAAGTTGACGACCTCCCGGAGGCCCGGATTTATAATATTCAATTGCTAAAAATTAAAGATAATGTTCAAATAATATATTCGGTATTAAAGCTAATTAAAAATCGTGAATACCTTTATCTGCTACACGCTTATAATAGAATACTGCATCTTCGCAACTACGATGTACTCCAATACCCATTAAATAACGATAACCAAGTGTCATTTCCGCAGCGGTGTCATGACCGAGTGCAGCGAAAGTATGATATAATAAAGCCTAAAGTCAATTAATTTTAAGAATATAGGTTAATCACGTTATAAAAAACATTACTTACTTTTCCCTGATCTCTCATAACAACATTTCCTATGCCAGTCGCGTACATAAATCCAACCATTTGTTGTGCTGTTGCATTTCCGGATCGATTCGCCAATTCACGATAATAATAGAGAGCGGCCGTTAAATTACGAGGATGTGTATATTTTGCGTGCTAAAATCATAATTATTCATTAAAAAATTTAACATTACTATAGTAAGTAATTGATTTACTTACGAAATTTAACTCTCCAAGAGTAAATAGTGCACCATCATGATTGTATTCAAAAGCAGCTTTCTCTAATAATTCAACTGCCCTAACCAATTTTGGATGCCTATAATCCGCAATAACTTTTCTCCCTATTTCAGTGTCTGCAATTGGGGAACGTAATCCGAAAACGGAGAAGATACATTTTGCCAAAAACCGATATGAAAGAAGGAATAGGCTAGGATCTGAATCGTCGATTTCAAACCGCTTCTTGGGGAGCGGTTTCAGTGTTCGAAGTATTATTAAAGCTCTTTGATATAATTCATCAGCTACAAAAATTATAATATGAATTATACACATAAACTACTTTTTCTCACAATATGAAAAATTTATACATATAAATACCGTTAAGTTTTTCTTCCAAATTATATAAACCATCTGAATTTTCCGTTATTACGGCTGAATTTGTCTGGGTCGCAGTGTCTTGTGATAAATCGGCACTAGTAATAGCTGCAACACGGGTTATTGTTGTAACGAGCAAAATACAAAGGAGGCAACCTATTTATTGGAGACAATCATTAATGTAAGGTAAAACACAAAAAGCGAATAATGTTTGTTATACATACCGAGAAGAGAAGAAATTTTTTTAGGTATGTACAACATATTTCTCAGGAGCAATGCGGAAATCTTTGACTGTTAAAAGCATCGCCTTTCCATTGAAAGGATTTGGTAAACGTATTTTTATATTTTAAATCATTTGTAAACGTGTTGACCTTTTATTTGCCCTTTACCCATGATACGTCAATACGGAAACGTCATCAATCAGCGGTTTTACGAGTTGTGTAACTCTACAAGGTATGTGTGCAATAACCAATAACTAATTAACCGTTAATTAATATATTGGCTAAAATGGGATTCTGAGAATTTTTTTTTAAAATTGAAATTTTTGATACATATTATCTATAACTTACCGTATTAAAGATGCGATGTAACATTTATTTATTATAAAATTTCAAATTTTAAATACAAGTATAAAAGAAAATTCCAAAAAGTATACAAAAGTAAAAAAAATAAAGTAAAAGCTACTTAGCCTTCTTCAAAGAGGTTACTGACTCTAACCAAACCAATTGGTTGTCTCATCATGTTTCTAAATTACTATTAAGAAAAGAAAAGTTAGTATATAATAAAGAGAAAATGCATTTGAGATAACTAGTTTTCATTGTGTTAGAAAAGAGGCTAAGATCTGCCATTAGAAATGTTAAAAAATCCTAAATGGTTCTAAAAATCCCAATAAATTTGCATGTTCATCAGTAAATTTAATAGACGTAATATTGCATAAACTTATATTCTATAATATTATGAAAACTTATAAGCTTATTGTAAGATTATATAATTTGTATTTTTGTAATATTTTGTAATAAATATTATGACATAATATTACGAAAGTATTATGGGTAGGGTTCTGCAATTCAATTTGATATTTGAATATTCAATTTGAAAATCAAATCAAATACAAATCAAATTTATATTTGATTCAATTCGATTAAATTCAAATCAAAAAATGATTTATTTGATC